CACACGAACCTTCCTTTGGAACTCTCATCCTCATAAGAAGATGCCAACTGAACAACAAAAATGCATATGTTAGACTCAACCCTACAATTTAATAATAAAATAAAATATATGGTGGAAAAAGAATATTTTCCAAAGGGAAAGAAGAGTCATGACAACTGCATTACTTGTCTATTTCCATTTCCTTTGCGCCCTTTACTTGTTCCAGGAATGACAACACAGAATTACGATCAGTCCCAGGATTCTTCTTTCCCTGTTATTAAAAAAACTGCAAGTTAGACGAGCACTCAATATCTCATAAACTATGGGAGATCGATCATGATGTAGAGACTTCCTACAGATTCCTATTGCCAATTGCAGTGCCAATCAAGAATTGGAAGAACTTTCAGCAGACATTACAAATAAACGAAACCGCACTATGAAAAACTTGAATGCTACCAAGCTAATTAAAAGCAGGATTTGCCCAAAACAAGAGGACATGATCGCTTGTTCATTATTCTTGATTAGAGCTAATAAAAGCAAGAAATTCTTACCCAGCCAAAAGAAAAGGGCAGATTGTTTCCAGTTCCCAAAGGAACTGTAGCTATCGGGGGTGGATGCGGCAATTTAAGATCACAAACAACCCCCAGAAGCCAGCCAGCTGTTCCATCGCCACCAGCAACCTAAGGATCAATCTAGATGTAAGGAGTAATTACAATGCACTGAGCCACTGGTGGTCCTTGTTATTTATAACTTTGTGCAAGAAAGAAAGACCTATGAGACTTAACTGAGGGACTTGACTTACAATTATTCTTAATCGCTCGTTGATATTTGCAGCAAATTTATCATTTTCTTTTTTAAGCTTTTCCAGTCTGATGTAAACCCTACGAAGCGTCTTATCAGGGGACTCTTTCCCCACATCGAAAACCTGAAATCAGTCACACAGATATCACCCTCAAAGCAATGTGTTAAGCAGTGCTTTGGCTTCCAAATTTACCTTTTGGAATTTGGGCATCTAAATCAATGCTAAACAAGCCCTAAAGCTACCTGATATTCATTGAGCACAGTTTTGTACGTTTGAAGAAGATCCCCGCCCAACTGGCCGCCACTTTTGGAGTTGATAAAAACCAGCACCGGAAATTTAGGTGGATCAGGGTCATCGGAGCTCTTTGTTTCGTCATTAAGTATATAGGTAGGAATGTAGAAATCCTTCAAGAAATCAGAGTCGTATTTAGATCCCGCCATTAATGGATCCAACTGCATTATCAAATGACGAACAATTTTTCAAGTCAAACTACCAAGGAAAATTACCAGGAATAGAAAAAAAAGGTTATGGTAAATGACATAGAAGAAATTGAATTTTTCTAACATGAATCAGCACAAAGAAAAAATGATTAAACTAATTAAAACTATACCCTGCGTTTAAATGAATCCCATCCCATCGTGATGGACTTTGACATCGATTACACCTGAAAACACTCGTAATTCATACTGTCAAGAGTCGTAATCATATGTGAAATCAACAAAAGAAAATCATATGATATTTCAGTTCAGGAGTTTAACAAACATGGAAAGTGTAATTCATCCATTGCAAAATGACAAGGTAAAAAGGAAAGCAAAATGAACTCAACCGGAATTGGCAACTGTTGAGATAAACTTTTTTCCCGCCTCTGGAGAATGAGTGATGACAACTAAAGGGTAACAATGATAGCTTCCTTTGCTTGCTATATCAGTTGAAAGAAAGAAATAAGGAAATGGCAGTTGATTCAATGTGATTCGAAGCTGAATTTCACATTTAAATTTTACAAGAGCTATTTATGAGATACCTGGCAGATTTAATAGAGTTTTTTTTTCTCTCTGTGGATACTTTGAGGTGACTAATGAAACCGAGTTTCCAGTTCGTTAATTTAGCATCTGGAAGTTGCATGTCAATTGAAACGTTCAAAGAGGAGATGAAAAAGGACAGAGTTGACTCGGCCGGTTAACGTGACTCTCTCTCTCTCCCCGCCCTCCCCCTCCTCTCTCCTCTCCCTCTCTCCCTCTCTCCCTCTCTCTCTCTCTCTATCTCTATTTCTCTCTATATATCTATATCTATATATATACATACATACATACATACATACTAATATACTAATATATGACTTGAATGAACATCACCTTATTGAGCTTTCTAACTATTAAAAGCTACTAAATGGTCACCTAACTATTTATATGTCCTAAATTCACAATTTTTCATCAAAAAAATTGACAATTGTCTAAGTTGGACGTTAACTTATTGAATGATATGTACTAAAATCTAATTCTAGAATCTCAAACAACCATCATATCAGAGTCAGTATGTTAGCGTCAAATTCAGACGACCGTCAATTTTTTAACAAAAAATGATGAGTATGAAACATATGAATTGTCGGATGATTATTTTGTAACTTTTAATAGTCAAGGGACTTGACAAAGCAACATCATATAGTCGGAGGACCATTATGTAACTTTTAATAATCAGAAGACTCGAGAAATCATTATTCTATAGTCGGAGGACCATTTGTATACTTATTATGAATTTAAAACGTTAATGGACGATAATGATTTATTAATAGTGAATATATGTTGATTATTTTTCTAAATTATTGATAATCATATATATATATATATATCTCTTACAGATGTAATTGTTCGAATTCAAGTACTCTAAACAGAATACTACTCCAATTTAATTAAGTATTTAAATCATTTTTATGTAGCACAAATTAAACAATTTCAGTCAGGAGATGATTGTCATTCTTAAAGGTTTATGGTTCGATCACATCATCTATAAGAACATTTGAACGTTCATCATTAAATAGTTAAGAATATTTCGGATATATACATTTACTTTTAAAAACATTTTTACCTAACTTTGTAACCCTCTCCGTCTAGAGAATCTTTTTTGGAATGAAACTACTTTAAAATCTAAATATAAATACTACTTTATTATCATTATCTAGATTATTTAAAAATAATAATAACATATTTTATAATATCATTATATATTATTAAAGATTTATCTCTTAATTTAATTACTACTATTGAAGTTGACTTGCTTTTAAAATTTAATAACTATTTATGGGTTAGTATATGTATCACTTAAGCAAAATCTAAGTTTTAGTTTTTGTATATACATAAAATCTCTGTTGGGATACTCACATACTAAAATAAGGTGTGTGATGCGGGTCGAGCCGAATTAATCAAGACAGAGCCTTAGAACATGGAGGATAACCAAATTTTTTTTAATAATTATTTCAGCTGAATTTGAATAATTCAAATGTGAAATCTATATCCAAATCTTAGTTGATTACTTTTACACGTGGGAATATAAACTTAAACATTATTAAAATTAGTAATTTTAAATTTTAAATTAAATATATATACTCAAATGTAGCCAATAACTAAAAAACAAATTCTAGAGTAAATATAAATTCCAATTTAAACATTGTCAAAATTACAATTTTTTTTATTAAGGCATCACTCAGTAGTTCAAATAGCTATTGAGATGATCAATGAACAAAATTTCCAACTACTAAATGCAAACACTAAACATTAAGGAGCTTCAAGCTTTGTTCAAAAATAGAAACGAATTCATCCATGTGTTCATAATCCAAAGCAATCCCCACCTCGATTTCGCCTTGCTCATTGATGTACTCAGCCAACGCTATCGCTCCGTCATTCTCGATATGCGTCAGTTCCACCTTGCACGATCTTCCCCACCCGAAATCGGTATCGTAAACTTGTAGTTTCGGCGACCCTGCAGCCGTAGTAAGACGCCCTGTTTTAATCCGTTCCATGATAGCCTGTTGCCAATGTTGTTGCCCTCTCAAACCACTTCTCTCCATTTCTTTTATCCTTTTTCCGATTGCTTTTGCGGCCAAAACGACACCGTTTTCTCCTATTAGCTCGCTTTTCTTTATGTCGACAACTCCCGGTTTTAAGCAATTCCCGAAGTATCTTGTAGGTACTGGAAATTCTAAACGGTTTTGGCAAACAAACAGGAAAAAGAAGTGATGGAACTTATCGTCATCGTTGTCCATAACATGTGAGACTCTCTCTTTTGATTTAATCAAACAAACCCATATGAAGGCACATGAGACCACAAACGTCGAGACGTGACATGTCTCCGAATTGATGTTGCTCTTGCAATGTGCTGTGACCAAATGCTTTAGTTTATGCATGAGCTCGACCTAAGACGAACGTGCCTCGAAACTTTTCGATATCATTGGCTGGTGTTGTGTTGTATCAGAGCCATGTTCGTTTGTAATTGGGATTTGTAACAAATGGTGACTAACGGCAATGTCGTGAATGTATCTCAACTATCGATTCCAGTCTCAATGGAGAAAGCTATAAGTTTTTTAGCATCAAGATGAAGACCTTGTTCAAGTCTCAAGATCTTTAGGACTTAGTTGAGAATGGCTATATCGAACCAGATGAAGAGGCGAGATTGAGAGACAATAAGAAGAAGGACTCAAAGGAATTATTTTTTATCCAGCAAGTCGTTCATGAGACTGTTTTTTTTAAATTACTGCATCAAATACAGCGAAAGAAACTTGGGGAATCTTGCAAACAACATTTAAAGGCTCCTCTAAGGTAATGAAGATAAAACTTCAATCACTTCGTCGGGATTTTGAAACCTTGCAGATGAAAGGTGGAGAGCCGGTGTAGGATTTTTTATCCAGAGTTGCTGAAATTGTCAATAAAATGCGGTCTTATAGGGAGAATATTAATGATCAAATAATTGTTGCAAAAATTTTAAGGAGTCTCACTCCTAAGTTTGATCATGTAGTGGCTGCCATAGAAGAATCCAAAGACCTGGAAACATTCACATTTGATGAATTGATGGGATCATTGCAGTCCCATGAGGCGAGGTTGAACAGAACGGAAGAGAAGACCGAGGACAAGGCTTTTCATGTGAAAGGGGAGGCATTTCCCCAAAAAAATTAACAAAAATGGCGAGGTCGGGTTGGATCTCGTGGACGAGGAGGTCGTGGCAGAGGACAAGGCTGAAGCGATGGATACCAAAATCAAACACAATAACAAGATAACAAAAGGTTTATCTAATGATTTTACTGTAAAAAATTTGGGCATGTGAAGGCAGATTGCTGGCGAAGATCAAAGCAAGAACAAGCAAGTTATGCAGAGCAAGAAGATGATGAGATCAAATTGTTCATGGCGTATCAAGAAAATACAGCAAGCCATAGCAACATTTGGTTTCTAGACAATGGGTGCTCGAATCATATGACTGGTGTGAAGTCATTGTTCAACGAGATTGATGAAACCTTTAAACAAAAAGTAACACTTGGAGACAACAAGCAAATTCAAGAGGAAAGAAAGGGCAATGTGGCAGTCAAAAGCAGTTTTGGTAATGTGAAACTTCTCTATGATGTTTATTACATTCCAAGTCTGTCACAAAATCTGTTGAGTGTAGGGCAACTCGTGGCTACTGGATACTCTATCATGTTCGATGATGCCTCATGTGTGATCAAAGATAAAAAATCAGATCAAACTATAGTTTACGTTCACATGACACCAAACAAGTTATTCCCACTTGTTATTTCTGATGTTCAAAACCATGCACTTGCTGTCAAAGAAACCAGTGAGTCGAGATTATGGCATTTGAGGTATGGGCATTTAATCAAAGGTTTGAAATTATTGTGTCAAAAGAAAATGGTTGATGGATTGCCTAAAATTGAGACTTTAGATACGTGTGAAGGGTGCATATATGGAAAACAATGTAAAAAACCATTTCCTGTGGGAAGTCTAGAAGGGCATTGAGGTGCCTTGAACTTGTACATACTGATGTGGTTGGTCCCATGAAAACTCAATCATTTGGTGGGAGTAGATATTTTTTATTATTTATAGATGATTGTAACCGGGTGAGTTGGGTTTACTTCTTACAGTTCAAGTCAGAAATATTTGAAAATTTTAAAAGATTCAAGGCACTTGTGGAGAAGCAAACTGGAAGATGCATCAAGGCTCTGCGTACAGATAGAGGCGGTGAATTTGTATCACATGAGTTTAATAGTTTCTGTGAAGAACATGGTATGAGAAGAGAGCTAACTGCTCCATACACTCCAGAGCAGAACGGTGTTGCTGAACGAAAGAATCAGACGGTTGTGGAAATGACAAGAAGCATGTTGAAAGCTAAAGGACTTCTGAATCAATTATGGGCAGAAGTTGTTGCAACTGCAGTCTACTTGTTGAATTTGTCACCAACAAGGGTTGTTCTCAATCAAACTCCATATAAGGCTTGGTACGGAAAAAGACCTTGGGTAAGCCACTTAAAGGTTTTTGGTTGTGTTGCTTATACTTTAATTGACTCACATAAACGCAGCAAACTTGATGAAAAATCAACAAAATGCATTTTTGTTGGTTATTGTTCTGAGTCCAAAGCTTACAGGTTGTATAGTCCTATTGATGGCAAAATAATAATCAGTAGAAATGTGATTTTCAATGAGGATGCAAGCTGGTCTTAAGAAGAAAATGCAGGTGATGTCAAGTTTGAAATTGCAAGTAAAGAAACAGCTCCACATATCGAATTGTTACAACCCCTTCTCCAAATCTGTCATCACCTCCAAGTTCGTCAAGTGCATCTTCGAATGGTAGCATTTCCTCCGATGATAAGACTCCTCCAAAGAAATTCAAAACTTTGGTGGAGATTTATACGTCTACGCATGCCTTGTTTGTTGTTGATCCTACAAATTTCGAAGAAGCAGCAGACAAAGAGAATGGCGAATTGCAATGAAAGAAGAAATTACAGCAATACAACGTAATAAGACATGGGAGCTTGTAGATCTTCCTAAAGACAGAAGAGTTGTTGGTGTTAAATGGGTCTTTAGAACCAAGTTCGACGCAGATGGAAACATTCAAAAGCACAAAGCACGTCTAGTGGCGAAAGGATATTCACAACAACCAGGTGTAGATTTTGATGATACTTTCTCTCTGGTTGCACGGTTTGAAACCATTAGGATTGTTTTGGCGTTGGCTGCACATTTAAAAAAGACAGTGTATCAATTCGATGTTAAGTTGGCTTTTCTAAATGGAGATTTACAAGAGGAGGTCTATGTTGCTCAACCTGACGGATTCACGATCGAAGGCAAAGAAGAAAAAGTGTACAAGCTACGAAAAGCTCTCTATGGGCTGAAGCAAGCTCCGCGCACATGGTACAGTAAAATCGATGCATACTTTCTCAAAAATGGTTTTGAAAGAAGCAAGTATGAGCCCAATCTTTATTTCAAATAGCAAGGTACCCATGATTTTCTCATTATTTGCCTTTATGTTGATGACATGATTTACATGGGTTCCTCAAGCCTAATAAATGAATTCAAAGCTTGTATGAAAAAGAAATTTGAAATGACGGATCTTGGAGCATTGTAATTTTTCTTGGACTTGAGGTGAAGCAGGTTGAAGATGGAATATTTGTGTCGCAAAATAAATATGCTGCTAATTTACTTAAAAAATTAAATAGGACGGGGTGCAAAATTGCAGCAACACCTATGAATTTGAATGAAACGTTGAAGAATGATGATGGTACTGAAGCAACAGATGCAAGGAGCTTTAGAAGTCTAGTTGGGGGCTTGATTTACTTGACTAATACGCGGCCGAACATTTCTTTTGCTATTGGAGTTATTTCAAGATTCATGCACTGTCAATCAAGGCATCATTTTGGCGCTGCAAAAAGAGTCTTACGGTATATTGCCGGAACTCTTGATTTTGTGCTATGGTATGATAATATTTCAAAGTTCAATTTGAGTGGTTATACAATAGTGATTGGGCTGGATGTTTGAAGGATAGAAGAAGCACGTCAGGTTATGTCTTCGGCTTTGGATCAGGTGTTGTTTGTTGGAGTTCTAAAAAACAAGCTACAACAACTCTGTCTTCATCGGAAGCTGAATATACAGCTGTAACTTCATCAGCTTGTCAAGCTCTATGGTTAAGAAGGATCCTAGCTGATATCAGTTTAAAGCAGAAGGAAGTAACTGTGACAATCAAGCAGCGATTTCCATGTCCAAAAATCCATCCTTTCATGGAAGAACAAAGCATATAGATATTCGGGTACACTTCATTCGTAATCTTGTGTCTGATGGATCAATTATTCTGAAATATTGCAATACAAATGAGCAAATGACAGATATACTAACGAAGTCTCTCCCTAAAGACAAACATGCTTACTTCAGACAACAACTTGGCGTTTGCAACTTTGAATCAAGGGGGAGTGTTGGAGAATGATTCAAAGTCATCCTATTTTTTGTATTGACTGTTGTGGTTCCTTATTTTTCTGATTTTATTGTTATTTACGTGCAGTAGCGATTCCTTTTTTCTGTCAGTTTGTTGTGTTGTCAAGCTTATATAAGGCCTATGTTTGTTCCACTCTAAACATGGAATAAAAGCAGAAAGTTCTGTCATCTAAAAGTCCATTGTTTCTTCTTTATTTTTTTCTACAAGGGCACCGAGATTGTCGAAACCGAGCCCCGAGGCGGCGAAACTTGAAGGCGGTCGAGAACCTTAATCGTGCCTATTTGAGCCATGTATGATAAGAATCCTGAAACTTTGTTGCTTAATTCACAGTTCAGACTATTATGTCCAGCAAATGCAGAATTCTATTTAAATACTAAACTCAGTCAAAAAAGCAGGTTTATTATTAGCAAAACAGATCCTAACAATACTGGGAGGGTAAGGAAGACGAATTTCCTGGCATCCTGGCCAATACCAAAGCTACACGTCACCATTAAAATAGCAGAAACCAAACAGAATATAATCTGTGCCAGGGGCATACATATTTCCCAGTAGTACAAATACTAAACTCCAAGTTGCTTCAAATTTTGTTCAAAAACAGTAACGAATTCATCCATTTGATTCTTGTTTAAAGCAACGCCCACCTCTATTCCGCCTTGCCCGTCCCTGCACTCGGTCATCGATATTGCACCGTCGTAATCGATGTGTGTCAGCTCGACCTTGCGAGGCCTTCCCCACCCGAAGTCGGTGTCGTAAACTTGTAGTTTCGGTGACCCGGCAACCGGTGTAAGACGCCCTGTTATGAATCGTTCTATGACAGTTGATATCCTATCCTCTGCCCCTCTTAAATCACGTTTCTCTGTTTCTTTAATTGTTTTACCAATGGCCTTTGCAGCTAAAATGATCCCATCTTCTCCGAGTAGCTCGCTTTTCTTTACATCCACGATGCATGGTTGTAAACAATTTCCGAAGTACGCCGTTGGTACTGGGAATTCGAGGCGGTTCCGACAATCATATGGAAAAAGAAAGCAATAAAACTTATCGTCGTCATCGTCGAGTGATGAATTATTAGCGACACACTCTTTTGATTTAACCAAACAAACCCATATGATGGCACATGTGACCACGAACGTTGATATGTGATGTTGCTCTGTATCAACTGCCGTGACCAAATGCTTTAGTCTCTGGGCATGGGCTCGGCTCAATACAAATGTGGCTCGAACCTTGCCTGCTGTTATATCTTGTGACGGTGCTGAATTCTCGCCACAGGATGACACCCAACGCCAATAATCCTTCAGGCGAACCGACTCTAAGCCGTCGGGATCCTTGATAACGTCCTTGTTAATAAAAGGACGTGAATTCTCGAGATCGGTTAAGTCACCACCGGACCGATAAACAGACGTCCAAGACCTCACGAAATGCATGAACGACTTGCCATCACCAACCGCGTGACAATAGGATGATCCTAGGCAAATCCCGGAGTTCGGAAACACGGTGACTTGAATTGCTAGGACGGGGAGAACATAAATTCCGTCCTCTGTTACATGAGCCGACGGTAATCGAGGGACGAAGGGGTGTAACAATTTAACATCCCGTGGATAATCAGCTATGACATGTTCGAAATCCGCGGTGGACTCGACAACCGTGAAGGTTACGGAGTCGCCCCCGTGTAATGGATATAGGGCTTTCCGGGTGATGGAGGGCACGTGATGTTGGCCGCGTACGGGAAAAAATTCTTGAGAGTCAAGGAGAGAGAGCGTTTGAGCATAGGAAGAGTGTTTTCCATGAAATATGAAGTAGGGTGAGGGAATTCATAGAAGAAAAGGCGTTGGACCGGACCCCGACCTAACCACGGCAAATCGAGATAAGTTAGAGGCAAAGAGATCGTCGGAACCGAGCCCGGAGGTAGCGAAACACGAGCGCTGTCGACGATCTTAACCATACTGCTGCACTCAACCATCTATACGATGAAATACAGAAGTCTTGCACACTTTCAAAGCTCACAATTCACGGACTTATATACATAGTACTACTTCTATGCTTATATCTTACTCTGTCTAATGGAAATCATGATAAGATCTTCTAGAAAGATGACGGCTTATCTAATCTGTAGCCTAAGGCCTTCCTCTATCGTGCACACAAAGTCAAAAAGTTTTTGATAAAAAGCACAATTGTCTAATTATTAAGGGGTAAATTAAGATCCCATCTCATCGAGAACTTCATTTCTGAACCACGAATTTGCTTGAGGCATGGGGTAAAGAATTAATATTTAATTAAACTAAACATTTTCAACATCATTACGTTGATTTTTCTATCCTACCGTTTAATTCTTTAACAAGCATTGTTTATCTAAATTAATTTATTTGAATTAATAATACTTTTAAACACACCACCGTGATAAAAGGAAATGTTGATCTCGAACAATGACGTTACAAACTTATATGTTGTAAATAAGTCAGAAAATTTAAATATTATCTTATTATCTTTCTCAAATTATTAAAATTTACATTCGTATCTTATCATTTAATTATTTAACGAGGATTTTGGAGAGACTAATCACCGAAATGTATTATTGGAATCTTGACTAATCCAAGTCGTGGAGAAATCTAATTCCTCCACTGACAAACTCAGTATTCTAGATAAAGATATTTATACCAGTTGTCCCTACCAAATCCAATGTAAAAATCATAAAATATTATTAAGGGATTGATTCTATTTTACAATCCATTTTTTAATTAAATTATCAAAATATTCTTAAGTCAATAGTTAATTGATATAAAAATTAAGAAATTTATATATTTATACTTTTAATAATCACTACCTGTATATTTTATCACTTTAATCCTAATTTAATAAATTTAATTCATTAATCAGTTGATGATTAAAAATTTTCTCTTAATTTTAATTTAATAAATTTAATTAATCAACTAAATTATAACACTTGTCATAATTTGATTGGTAAAATATGAATGAAAAAAAGTGCTTGAGCATCAATTGCTAGGACCAGATAATCAATTGGCTAAATTCTGGTTGCTAGATCATCAATTGCTGTGACCACAAAATCAATTGGCCAAATCCTGATATCATGTTTTATTAAATGTTAATTTATTAATGAAAATCTAAAGAAAGTAAAAAAAATCACAAATCCTATTTTCTACTATTAATCTTACCTAAAAGACAGACAAAGAGAAATTCTAGAAAGAAAAGAAAAAAGAACCCCTAGGTTATCATGGTTGTGAGCTTCTAGGGTATACAATTTGTGAAAATGACAAAATACACCAATATATAAAAGGAAAAAACCCAAAAACAGTCACGTTACCATATCGGTGGAAATCGGGTGAGGAAAAATAAAAAACAGTAGGGATTCGAATCGAGGAAAATGGGGAATAACGGAAATCTTTATTCACGAGGATGGGGGAAGTTTTATCCCCGAAGCTCAAACAGAGATGGGGAAGGGGATTGTTATATCCGAACCGTGGGGATAATCGAATCGTACCCGTGTGAATAACCGTGGGGATTATCGAAAAATATCTGTATGAATCCTTGATATTTTACAAAATTTTAAAAATATATCTATGATTATTTACCTATATACCCTTATTATATATTTTAATAAAAATATATATATATGATAAGATTGTGAGATTACGTATTGTCACTATTACATCTCAAAAGAAATATAATTGAAGTTTAGATCTTTTCTCATTTAATATATATTGATTTGTTGAGATTGAAAATGATTAAGATTGTACATATATATTGGGTGTTATATGAATATTGACGTTTGAAACTTTCATATTATAGATAAAAATCAATTTAAGACAATCTAATATATCTTACAAGTTTTAGATGTTACATTTTTGGAATAAAGATTAACTGAAACTCGCATGGATCCGTAAGAAATAAATATGAGAACAAAAAATTCTGAAACATATAATAGAGATTCCTCAAAATCGTACCTATAAATATTAAGGATGGATTGGGTACCCGCCCCGCGCATTGCCACCCCTACATTACCCGGTTCGAAAATAAAATAAAAGGCATGTAAACTAGGATTCAAATCCTCTCAACGTCGAGTCCAAATCTTAACATCTTCAATAGTCTGAAATGGGAAATCAGAAGATTCATGAAAGATGGAGCACCTCAATTTAGAGGTGTTCAAACTTCGCTTAAAATCGATTTAACCGATCAAACTATAATATTTTTCGAATAATAGATTAATTAATTTTTAATTCGATCAATTAAAAAATAATAATTTTTTTGAACTCTAATTATCAATTAATTCAATTCGGCCAATTAACCAAATTAATTAAATTAACCGAAATTATTAAAAAAATTAATATTTCATATTACGTACTTTTTATGGTGTTTAAATTTTAATTTTGATTAAATTAACCGAAAATATGAAATATTTAATATATAACATATTATTTATAAATTTCAATTAATTCAGACCAATTAATTCAACTTCATTCATTTCAGTCAATTATTTGGGGGGGAAAAAAGAAAAGAAAAAACAACTCAATTAATAGATACTTGAAAGTTCAGTTGGATTCTTAACAGTTAACGATTGCGACCGATTGTGCGACCGTAACCTAGTTAAGAATAAAAATGATGATTATGTACGGAAATCTACGTCTCAATCAAGAATTCTCTGCAGCAGAACTGGCGTATTAAGCTGTGTTGTAAATCTTCATAGCCACAAAACATATTAAAACAATCTGTTTTGCATAATTGAAAATTTGTTTTGGATTGGCAGGCTCATACCAAGAAATTCAACCATTTTTATCGTCAATATGCTTCATGGATTGCTCTCTGAAGCGCGGATAAAACAAACTTAATCATCGCCAACACCGATTTGAAAAATCAAATCGAAAGAAACAAAGATATAGCGGAAGATTTTAGAGAAATATACCATTAAAGGAAATGTCCCCGCGTGTAACACCGCCGGATCAAAAATACGCCTCGATGACTAACCTAGCTTCCGGTGGATTCGTCGAGAACAAGCTAACGGTGTAGCGAGGCAAGAACAAAATTGGAGATTTAGCCGCCGATCTGACATAGAAGAGCCGGTCGATAAGCGAAAGCTATTCCGCAACACGTGAAACGGCATGAATCTAGCACCAACATTGGGGGTTTGATCTTCATTGATAGAGATTCAGATAAGCCCAGGAGAGTTCGTGCAGATGGGAAAAAAAAAACAGTTTCGCTAACAATAACATAATGTTGAAAATTTAAACAAATGGGCTGCTAAATTAATAAAGTGGCAGCCGACTGTTTAAAATAATGGGTAAAGTTTTTTTTAGTCATTGCACTTTAGGGTATTTTCAAATATTAGTCTCTAAGCTTCAACTATAAATACCCTAGCTCATTTAACTTCAAAATTATCCCAAATCATTTCTTTCTTCCAATACTAGAGAGTTTCTTGTGAGTAGTGAGTGTTATGTAAACACCTGTAAATTTTCTCTCTTAGTAAAAGATATGCAATAGTCCGGAGACGTAAGCAAATTGGCTGAACTCCGTTATCAATTTCGGGTATTATTTTTTCCGTTGTTATTTCGCATTCTCACTAATCTGATTATAGGGAAATTACTCGTACTCGTTTATTTCCTAACAACTGGTAATCAGAGCTTTTGGTTGTGAAATTTGTCAATTTTTCGCATTGTTACTATTCATGTGAATAGTGAATTTCGTTAATAGTAAAAATTTTGTCGGCGATACGAATTTGTCGACGGAGGTGTTCTAATACACGGTGGTTCGCAAAAATTATCAGAAACAATCCAAACGAAGCCAGATTCGAGTGGGAGCGATGGCTGCAGACGAAGGGAATGTGAAAATTGAAAAGTTTGATGGTGTGAACTTTGGCTTTTGGAAGATGCAGATTGAAGATTTTCTGTAATAGAAAAATCTATATCAATCCCTCTCAGGAAAGCAACCAGAGGGCATGAAGAATGAAGACTAAGCTCTTCTCGATAGACAAGCCCTCGAAGTTATCCAACTGACTTTATCCCGCAATGTTGCTTTCAACATAGCAAAGGAAAAGACCACGACGGGTCTTATGGCGGCTCAACACCTAAATGAACTCAACATTATCACAATACAATTGAGTTCCGTGGAAATTGAATTCGATGATGAAGTTCGAGCTTTAATTCTCTTATCATCTCTACCAGACAGTTGAAATGCTACTGTTACAGCAGTTAGCAGCTCGTAAGGAAACAGTAAATTGAAATTCGACGATATTCGGGATCTGGTATTGAGCTAATAAATTCGACGAAGAGAATCGGGTGAAGCATCATCCTCCTCAGCCTTGCACACGGAGTCTAGAGGGAGAACTTCAGAAAGAAATTCAAATCGTGGCATATACAAATCCAGAAGGGAAAAATCAAGAACAGGAAAGAAAGATTTTACCTGTTATAATTGTGGCAAGAAGGGTCACTTTAAAAGAGATTGTCGAGCACTGAAGAAAGATACCAGCGTATAGGAAGCCAACATGACAGAAGAGACAGGTGATGTCATGATTCTAAGCGTCAACAGTCCGATTGAATCATGGATCTTGGATTCAGGGGCATCTTTCCACTCCACCTCATGCCAAGAAATCATGGAGAACTATGTTAGTGGTGATTTTGGGAAGGTTCATCTAGTTGATGATTAAACCTTGAAGATCGTCGGAAAAGGAGACATCCGATTAAAGTTGCCAAACTAGACCACTTGGACGCTGAAATGAGTGAGACATATTCATGGCCCCAAAAAAAATTTGATTTCTGTAGGACAGCTTGATGGAGAAGGATATAACACAACCTTTTCAGGCTGTGAATGAAAGATTACCAAAAGAGCACTCGTCATTACTCGTGGTAAGAAGACTGGTACTCTCTATATAACCTCAAATTTAGATAATATCATTACAGCCGCAGATACTGATGGAAAATCAAACCTATGTCACCAAAGACTTGACCATATGAGCGAGAAAGAGATGAAGACGCTTTTGTCAAAAGGGAAGCTGACATATATAAAGAATGTAAATGTCGGACTATGTGAAGATTGCATCTTTGGCAAACAAAAGAAAGTCAATTTTGCAAAGATTGGCAAGACACCCAAGGCTGAAAAATTAGAGTTGGTTCATACTAATGTATGAGGACCATCTCCAGTTCCATCTCTTGCAGGCTCACTATATTATGCCACCTTCATCTATGATTCAACAAGGAAGGTGTGGGTTTATTTTCTGAAGAAGAAATCAGAAGTCTTTGATACCTTCAGAAAATGGAAGGTCATGGTGGAAAATGAGACTGGTTTGAAAATCAAGCGGTTGAGGTTTGACAATGGAGGAGAGTAAAGAAATAGTAGATTCAGAGATTTATGCGCAAACAATGAGATCAAGATGGAGACAACAGTTCCCATGACACCGCAGCGTAATGATATAGCAGAGCGCATGAACAAAACTCTGAATGAACGTGCCAGAAGCATGAGGATACATGCCGGATTGCCCAAATTGCTATGGGCTGAAGCTATCAACACTGCAGCTTACCTGATCAATCGTGGGCCCTCAGTTCCCTTGGATGGTGGAATACCAAAGGAAGCTTGGAGCAAGAAAGAAATAAACCTTTCACACTTAAGAGTAATTGGTTGTATTTCTTATGTACACATAAATTCTGCTGAAAGAAGTAAACTTGACGCCAATTCCAACAAATGTGTCTTTGTTGGTTATGGTGGTGATGAGTTCGGTTACCGGTTTTGGGACTACGAAAATCGGAAGATCATCAGAAGCAGAGATGTCATTTTCAATGAGAATGTGATGTACAAAGACAGGTCAACTATAGAATCAAGTAGCTCCAATACCGAAGCTGAAACAAAGGAATTTGTTGAGTTCAAGGAGATTTATGGAAATGATGTTCAGATCAATCCTGAAGCAGTTCAAGAAGAACTGAGCATACCAGAACTGAGAAGCTCCTCCAGAATTCCTAAACCAACCCAACGCTATTCACCTTCTTTGCACTACTTGTTGTTGACTGACAATGGTAAACCAGAGTGTTATGATGAAGCAATGCAGGTGGAGGATTCAGTCAAGTGGGAGTCTTCCATGAAAGATGAGATAGACTCGCTTATGTCAAATCAGACGTGGGAATTAGCTGAATTACCACCAGGCAAGAAAGCGCTCCATAACAAGTGGATTTACAGGATCAAAGAAGAGCACGATGAGAGCAAACACTACAAAGCAAGATTGGTTATCAAAGATTTTCAGCAAAAAGAAGGTATTGACTACAATGAAATTTTCTCTCCAGTCGTAAAATTGTCTACAATCATACTGATGTTGAAAATTGTAGCTACAGAAAATTTATATCTTAAGCAGTTAGATGTAAAGATAGTTTTCCTTCATGGTGATTTGGAGGAAGAAATCTATATGAGGCAGCCAGAAGGCTTCATAGAGACAGACAAGAAAAACCTGGTATGCAGGTTGAAGAAGAGCTTGTACGGTTTAAAACAAGCTCCTAGACAATGGTACAAGAAGTTTGATAGTTTCATGGGTAGTAATGGTTTTATCAGATGTCAAGCAGATCATTATTACTACATCAAGAGGTTTGACAACATCTTCATTATTTTATTATTATACGTTGATGACATGCTCGTTGCAGGCTCAGACATGCAATAAATTATAAACTTGAAGCAAAAATTGTCGAAGCAGTTTGCTATGAAAGATATGGGCCCTGCAAAGCAGATTCTTGGGATGAGGATTAAGAGAGACACAAAATCGGGGACTTTGATGTTATCACAGGCTGAGTACATCAACAAAGTTATCTCAAGGTTCAACATGCAAGATGTTAAACCAGTAAGTACACCTTTAGGTATTCATTTTAGACTCTCCAAAGAATAGTCACCAAAGACGGAGAAAGAATGTGCACACATGGTAAAGGTGTCGTATGCCTCAGCAATTGGAAGTCTAATGTATGACATGGTTTGTACTAGACCAGATATTGCTCATGCAGTGGGAGTTGTTAGCAGGTACATGAATAATCCAGGCAAGGTACACTGGGAAGCAGTCAAATGGATCCTTAGATATCGTCGAGGTACCGCAAACAAAGCACTTTGTTTCAAAGGTGGAGATACGATACTGACAGACTATGTAGATACTGACAGGCTATGTAGATGCTGGCATAGCCAGAAATGTTGACATCAGAAGGAGCACTACAGGGTATGTCTATACTCTAGGAGGAATCGCAGTGAGTTGGGTTTCTCAACTACAGAAGATAGTTGCTCTCTCCACAACTGAAGCAAAATATGTCGCTGTTACGGAAGCCAGCAAGGAGATGGTCTGGCTCCAAAGTTTCTTGGAAGAGTTAGGCAAGAAACAAGAGAACAATGTTTTGTATTGCGACAGTCAAAGTGCTATACATCTAGCAAAGAATCCGTCTTTTCATTCCAGAACGAAACACATACAATTACGGTATCATTTTATCCGGTCTCTTTTAGAAGATGGGATTTTGAAACTTGAAAAGATTAGTAGATCTCAAAATCCGGCAGACATGTTGACAAAGACGGTGACCACAGACAAACTGAAGTATTGTTCAACATCAGTTGGCATGCTAGACTAACAAGACCGGAAATGCTTATGCATTGATCAAGGTGTGAAGATATATTAAAATCATTCTTCAAGTGGGAGATTGTTGAAAATTCAAAGCACATGGGCTTCTAAATTAATAAAGTGGCAGTCGACTG